CCTGCCCGCAGAGAAAAGGGGGGGGGGGGGGGGGGGGGGGGGGGCAGCTAGAGCCCAGGGCCAGCACCTGTGCTGTCCCCAGCAGTATAAAAAAGCCGCCCTGGCAAGTAGCTCAGGGCTACTTGCTCTCAGGAGCTTCTGGGGCCCAGCCAATTGGTACCTGGGGACACTACCCCTTGTGCCAGCTGGACTGCTGAAGCATCCCTGAGAGCTCCCTACACCCTCTACCCACTGCAGCAGTCTGGCAGCGGGGGCTGCTGCCTGGCTGTGACCTGCTGCGCACCTGCCAGACCCGGATGGGGACTGCACAGCCAGTAGAGACATCTGCCCCTCTAGGCCAGCTGTGGTTGCAGGGTTGGCCTCTGTACGGCATTACTGCCATGTGTGCCCCCTGCCCGGCCATCTGGGCAGCTATGGCATGGAAGATGTTCCAGGTGTGGTGGCCTGCTCTGAACTGTCCAAACATGTCCTCCTGGCCCCATTTGGCCAGGAGGTCAGCCACAGCCAGCTGGGTCCAAGGTGCCAGCTCTGAGCAGGCAGGGTCCTGCCACTGGCCTCCCTACCAGGAATTCTGGTGTTCCCTATTGGAAACCTGAACAATCCCTGATAAAAAAATTCCAGTCACTCTGTAAAATACCCCCAAATCCATGTTCCTCCACTATTAAAACAAAGAACCACTCTCTCTCTCTCTCTCTCTCTCTTTATATATATATACAGATCCAGGAGGAGCCAGGCAGAGTTATTTTGCCCCAAGTGGCACAATTTGCCCCACACCAAAGTGCATGTCTGGGCACATGCACTGAGGCAAAAAGCTCTGGCTCAGATTTGCACCGCTTCTATTTGAGCTGCTGCAAGCACATGTGCTTGCATGTGTGGACGCGCCCTTTGTGGCTCCACCCTAATTCACTCAACTACAGCTCACAAACAAACTTGACAAGGATATTTAAGTTGGGCTGTCATGGTTGCAAACGTAGAGCAAGTAGTGACAGTACTCAGTCATGGATAGAATCCTGCTAGTTTGTTAGACGAAGGATCAATGGACTATATGCAAGATTCATTCAGAAAACATTAGCTATGATACCACGATGCCAAGTGTCAGACCCATTTCAAAGACATATATTTAACAAAGCAGAACTTTGCTAGACTCTTATATAAGTGAATTCTGAACATTGCTAAGATGTGGATCTTGATCAAAAGAGTGAAAATTTAGGCATGCTTCCAACTACTGGGGAAGCTGCAAGCTTGTTGTTAGAGCTACAGAATGTGATTTAATGAGAGGCTGTCCAGGCAGGGGAGGACAGATGGTATGGGACTTGAAGGAAAAAGACTGAACACAAGGCATGGAACCAGAAGGGAAAAAAAGAAACATTTAAAAAGTACTTTGTTAGGGTAAAACTCTTTTAAAAAAATACTGTTGTTTTAACACCATAGTTCACTATCACTAAAAAGAATCAAATATAGAAACAGATCTTCAGCTACTAGTAACATCTCTTCAGTAGTAAATCATAGTGCAAAAGGGAAAGAAAAGCTGCACTAATTGGGCATCTGGGATTCTATTTGAAAAAGGAAGTGTCTTGACTTGTACCTGGCTGACATACCTGGTTTGGTCATCACCTCAGAAACTGGAAGGGCATAGCCAGAGTGTCTAGTGCAGGAGTGGGCAAAATACACCCCACAGGATGCATCTAGCCCGCCAAGCAATTCCATCTGTTCCACGGGGCCCCTCTGTAAACTGTCTGTAAGCCTTGGCCCTGGGCTGCCCCTCTGCAAGCCAGCACCTCCATGCAGAAGGTGCAGCTCTGGATGCTAAGCAATTACCTCCCCCGCCACCTCCAGTCTGGCCTGCCGCCCCACTAGCCCCAAGCCAGGGGTGCCAGAGACAAGAAGCCTCTGCCTGGCAGAGCTTTTGCCTGGTGACCCCGTGGCTGTTTCCAGTTTCCCTGCCTGCGAGACTGGATATTCAGGTAAGGACCCTGCTGGGCCAGGGTCAGGGATGGGGAGCTGCACGCTATGGGGACAGGTGGGGCTGACCCTGCACCCTGCCATCATGTGCAGTGGGGAACTCAGACGGGAGCACAGGAGCTGTGCACTATGAGGACAGGTGGGGTTAGGCCCATATGCTGCCAACACATGCGGCTGGGGTGGGAGTGCTATGGGGCTGGGTGGGGTTGCACCTGCACCCTGACACTATGTGCAGCTGGGGACTTGGATGGCAGCTTAGTGTTATGGGGCTGGGTGCCCTTGACCCCACATGCTGCTGCCACCTGTGACTGGGGACTGGGGTGGGAGTGCAGGAGCTGTGCGCTATAGGGCCAGGCAAGGCTGGCCCCACTTGCTGTCACCACATACAGATCCAGGGACTCGCACACCCCAAGGACTCCAAGAACTCCCCTCCCCACACACCCCCCCTACCCTCACACACACTCACACCCTCCCACAGCCCCCACCCCAACCACATACCCTACACACTCCACCCACCATACCCACACCACACACACATACCCCCACTCCTCAGCCACACCCCCACATACACCCCGTTACCCCCCACCACAATATACAAGAGTTAGACTGTATTTTGAGCTATTATTTAATCACCTCTAGATACACTAGACAAACATGCATACATCAGGGCAAACTATTTTAAAAAACACAATTAAAATAAGTTATAATAGATGTTTTATATTTTGTAATTTATTTGTTTTTTTCCCTGATTTTCAAGATGGCAACCCTCCTCCCAAAAGGATTACTTCTGGGGCAAGGGGAGGGACTTCCAGTGGCAAAGGTCAGGGGTTAGGGGGTGGGACTTCCAGTCCCAAAATGGTAGCAAGGGGTGGGGCTACTCTCGCTGCCCTCAACAGCTCACCAAAACTCGTTAAGTGGCTCTCCAGCTGAAATAACTGCCTGTCCCCGATCTAGTGCTTCACTGTCCTACATTTCAGCTGCTCTAACTTAAGCTCAAAGATGTGGAGTAGGTAACTTTAACACACATTACTGCTTCCTACCTGTTCTGTCCCTCAACTAGACTATTTGAGCCATAATGCATCTGTACATAAATACATGGATCATACATATATTCTGAAGTATTTATCTCTTTTTGCACATGTTATTCTAAAGTCATTTTCAACACTCTGGTTCTCACATGGTACCACAATAATGCATTTCACAAAATATTTATATCTGAAATAAATCTGGCTTTGTTGAAAAAGAAAATACATTCAAGCAGCTCTTGTAAAATTAATATATGTAAGACTTGTTTTTAAAAGATGAAAGCCCTCAAATGCTGACTTGAAATCCATGAGTGAGCACAATGTTTCAGTGCAATTCATAGCCCATTTTATAGACCCTTTATATGTTGCCTGTCCAAAGACTTTACATACCTTTGGCATATTGATAACTAAATGCCCAGTTGTTTGTGATCTCTTTGAAGAGCTACTGTCTGGTTTCACTTCTGCTGGAAGCACAAGTTGAAATGGCTTTTAAAAGAAAAGAAAAAAAGGATAGACTAAATCATATTAAAACATTTTTTTAACCCAGAGAGAACACATACAGGAATATGACTAACATATTTCATGTCAGATAGCATAGGCCTAAATCCTCTCATTTTATGTATAGTAATACTAATCCTAATAAATGATTTACATGTTAAACAGCCTTCAAAAGTAGACATATATTCCTTATTTGCTGTCACTGGAAAAAGTGACATTTCTAAAGAATGTTTTAAAATGATGCTAGAGTTGTATTAGGAATTAAATGAGAAAGATTAGCTCTACTCTAGTAATAAAGTAATTTTGAAACAGTCTGCGCATTTGGAATGCTATAAGCAGGGATTCTGGCTTTTTATTTAAACTGAAAATAACTCTGGAATTTTTCAAAAACATAATCACAATATAACTAATGAAAACCAAAGGAAATAGAAGAGTGGCTAAAATGACTTTCAACAGAATATATCTCTGCTACACTCTGTCCAGTGTAAAAGAGATTCTGGGCCTAATTCTAGTGTCCTTTAGCTCAATGTAAACATATCATCTCTGTTTAAAATTTAAATTACATTGGTGTCAAAAAGATGAGAAAAGAATCAGGCTTTGTATCTCTTCCCGTCTGTAACCTCCACAGTTGATAGGCTGGTCCCAGATAGCAGCAAAATAGTAACCAGCTTTTCCTGGGTGGTTACTCACAGCTTAGAACAATACATTTTAAAAAGCTATACATCTGTTTTCTAGCTAATAAATCCATTGAGCCCTACTCAAATTTATGCAGTGACCACTCTGTTAGAGCATTTTTTTTAAATCAAGTTACAATCTACTGATGCAACTACTGTCTGCTGATATCAGCAGAAAGTTTGATTAACGTAATTGGGCACTGAATCAGCCTCTCAGGTCACGTCCAAACTGGCGTGGACACGTGGTTTCGTGGGGAACACCCGTGCGGCTCACCCTCTGGCATGGGGCAGGTTATACTGGGTGGGGTAGGGGAGGCTGGAGCCAGCAACTGTACTGGCCCCAGCAGCCTCACTTGGGGTCCTGGGGGGCAGGGAAGCTCCAGCTGCGTTGCTCCTGCCCCTGGGAGCCTCGCCTACAGCCGCAGCATGGCTCTGGCTGGCTAGGCTCTGGTTTTGGGTGGTGCATGCTGCCGCCCCATGCTCTGCCCCACTTTTTTTCTGCACAGGTTTTTTTGACTCTGGCATCTCCCCAGGGTCAACCCTCCTCCCCCCCACCATGCTGCAAGACAACAGCACAGGAAATGCCTGAGTGTGTGATGCTGCAGACGGGTTGTCTGGACGCAGCTTCAGGGTCCAATCTTTCTTCTATTGATTTTGATGGGAAAAAGTTTGGGACTTAACATATCCAGAAGCAAGCAATGAGAATGTATAACTGTCAATGTAGAAAAGGGAATTGTTAATTTCAAATTCAAGTAACAAGAGAATACTGACCTTGCCCTTCACCATAACTCGGATATAAGTTGGCTGAACATCAACGTCAATAAGAGAAGTGTCCATATGCCTGCAGAATGAAATAACGCATTTAGTTTACATTAATTACCTTATGCTATATCAGAGGGCAGGGAAACACAGTCAAGACTACAAAAGCCATTCTTGATGATTTTCCAACTTGTAAAAATGCAGTTTGTTTTATTGTAACTAATGTAATTAAGCTATATGAAATAATCACAGATTTTAAGCTCTTTAGGACAAGAATATCTTCCTGTATACTTGTATAGGGCGCCTAGCAAAATGTAGCCCAAAATATTTTTAGACTGTTGGATTGCTACTCTGATACAAACACTAACTATTAATACTGAGACTTAGAAATCCTAATGCCAAGTACGCAGTTTTTTTTTCTATTAGTCTAGCTTCCATTCCTGTTTCTTGCTCACTATTGAATGTTGGTCATTTTCAACTTAATATTGTCTATCTCACCACTTTCCTTTCTAAAGGCTTAATTGGTAAGTTTGCAATATGAATTCTTTTTGCACTGAGTCTGCAGGAAATCAATGAACAGAAATAACTTCCACCAATGCTAGTGTCAGCATTTTCACATTTCAGTAATGTTGAATAATGCTTGCAAGCTGTACAGAATCCCCCTTGATTAACAACTCCTACTCACTGAGTGATCCATCCACTATTGTTCTTTACACCCCGCCCTGAAGGCACAGCTCAGCTGTTTCACCATTTTTCTTTTATGAGACCTTCTTTACCTCTTACATGGTTTTTTTCAAATTTTGTGAGGGCTGCTTTCCTCAGTGAAGAGCATATAATACAACTTGCCAGATCTCAAATCTTACTCCAATCCAGAGTAGCATTTCCACAACTTCAAAATATCATTTTTCATAACTCAGTGACATTGGAATGTACCTGTTTTGTGGCAAGATAGCTTGCCATAAGTGTAAATGAAAAATATCTTTCAATAAAGAACATTTTCTGATTATTTAACTACCAGTAATATCTGTTCAAGCTTTTTTCTACCAAAATTCAATCAATAGGGAGGGGAAGGAGCATGAATACAAGATAAAGAGAAAGGGAAACCATTATGAAGAGTCCAGCAAGAAGCATTGTCTGTGCGGCCCCAAATCCCAACCACAGATCTGAGAGTAGATTTCATTTCTTTCCCCACCCTTTGTTCCCTTCACAAAATCCTAGTGTATAGGGAAGGGTGAATGTGTAATACTATGTATTGGAATTTGGCAGCAACAAGAAACACCCTCCGATAACAGGGGATAAAATAGGTAATCATGCCAACCTGTAAACAGCAAGATCTAGGATGAATTGGTTGTTTTCTTCATCATCTTTCAAAGAGAAATGAAGCCTAGGAAGACAAGAAACATCTTCAGCATAAATAAAATTGGTTTGAGCAGGGAGCGATTCAACCGCTGGCATTTTTTAGATTAATATAAGCATCATTTAGACAATGTCATATGCTCTTTTTAGAAATATCTGCAACTTAACTACACAAACATGCACACCTGATGTTGGAACTGGGTTCTGTTTTACTATTCTGTTTGCTTGTTCTTTTTTTTAACTGAAAACATAATTGAAAGTACAGTGCAAGGTCAGGTTCTTTATACTTCAACTATCAATGCAGGAAGAGAGACATCTGCTGGTGAAAACTTTTGTAGATTAGAAAATGTGGCTGTATCCAGTACGCCCACATACCTGCATTATATATGTCTAGAGTCTAGAGTAGAGCTTGATTTTCATATATTTTTTCACACATCATCTCTAACAGCTGCACAAAGTTAGTCACAAATAAGGAACATAAAATCATACTAACTAACAGAAACCCCCTCTTGCTTGTGATCTGTTAATTTCCTCTGATTTGGAGTGATCGTTAAAGCTGTGACAGAAGCTCGGATGTTCAGAAGTTGGAAAGTACAATGAATAATATTAATAATAATGTGTATGGAATTTTTCCTTTTCTAAAAAGATCTGGAAGACCTTCTCTTTTCCATTGCAATAACTTCTAAAATGATGGAATACAGAAAAGCCCTAAATAAAAGCCACTGCTGAGTGAGATACTGTCATAAATATAGAGTAGTTTCATGACACAGCCTGATTCCCTTAACCTAATACAGCTCATGGCCATCAAAAATTGACAGATATCCTGGATTTCAGATTTTTCACTTTTTTATGAGTCTCAAGTATACAAAATGTGGCAATAAGTATTATTTCTTATTTTGTAGCCCTCTCTAGTCTAATACAGCCAGACTGCAGAGATTTTTGCATCAGTGAGCAGTCTGGATCAGGATGCATTTGATAGGAAGGTGGCAGATAGGATAATATAGACAAATGTCATTGCTAAATCTCATATGCTCATGGAAAAAGAGACATGAAGATGTTTCTGGGGCTCTTTTCTGAAAGGCAGAATTCCCCTGTACGTGGAGAGTTGCGGGGCAGGGGAGAGAGAAGAATGTTCTCTTGGTAGCAGCCTAACTAGCAGCTAACAAAGAAACAGCTTTTTAATGAAGAATGTAGACATGGTTGATCCTCCAAGAGCTCTTTGAAGAAAGTCTGACTTTGCTTTATCAGGCTTCTACAATGAAGAATCCATCTTGGAAGGCACAACTCTTCTCCAAATGGCATGCTCTGTGTGTCTTTCCTATGCACCACTAGAGATGCACTGTGATAGCCCACTGCATATACCATGTAATGAGGAGATGCAAGTTTCTTGTGTACATTCAACAAATCTGCACAAATGCTTATCACAATCTGGCCACATGTCAACCCAGTAAGTGAATTCCAGTGAAGAAGACCTATTATACAGGTGAACCTGGATTCTTTGCAGGGTTAGGCTCCTTAGCCCCCTGTAAACATGAGGGTTTAGGAACTAGTCAGGGGTTGATATATAGCCACAGGACCGCTGAGGCACTCCAACTTTTTGGTGAGGCCTTTATTTCAAACAGTAGTACTTATCCAAGTCTGGGATTGCTGATGACTGAGCTCTAGCTGAGTGGAGAAGCAGCGCCCTTTGAAATAAAAGACACAAAAAACAGCTACACCTCTTGTTTCATAGTTTCATAGTTGGTAGGGCCAGAAGGGACCTGAGCAGGTCATCAAGTCCGACCCCCTGCCATGGCAGGAATGAATGCTGGGGTCAAACGACCCCAGCGAGGTGATTGTCCAGTCTCCTTTTGAAGATCCCCAGGGTAGGGGTGAGCACCACTTCCCCTGGAAGTTGGTTCCAGCTCCTAGCTGCCCTGACTGTGAAGTAGTGCTTCCTGACGTCTAGCCTGAACCTATTCTCAGTCAGCTTATGGCCGTTATTCCTTGTAACTCCCATAGTGTTCGGAGGAACAGGGACTCTCCCATTGCCTACTGGTCCCCCTTGGCAAGTTTGTAGGTGGCCACCAGATCCCCTCTTGACCTTCTTTTGTGTAGACTGAACAGGTTCAGGTCCCTTAGCCTCTCCTCGTAGGGCCTGCCTTGCTGCCCCCTGACCATGCAAGTGGCCCTCCTCTGGACCTTCTCCATGCTGCCCACATCCCTTCTGAAGTGCGGCACCCAGAACTGGATGCAGTACTCCAACTGCGGCCTGACCAATGTCGCATAGAGGGGGAGGATCACCTCCTTGGACCTGCTCATGATGCATCTATGAATGCGTGACAAGGTGTGGTTAGCCTTCCTGACTGCATCCCCACATTGGCAGCCCATGTCCATTTTGGAATCAATAATGACTCCGAGATCCTTTTTTGCCTCTGTGCTGACAAGAAGGGAGTTCCCCAGCCTGTAGGTATGCTGCTGGTTTTTCCTCTCCAGGTGTAATACCTTGCACTTGTCCATATTGAAACCCATCCTATTCTTATCCTCCCACCTCTATAACCTGTCTAGATCTAGTCTTGTAGCCTGTCCCTCTCTTCTAGCATACTCACTTCTCCCCACATCTTAGTGTTATCTGCAAACTTGAGCAAGGTACTTTTCACCCCCTTGTCCAAGTTGCTGATGAAGATATTGAACAGTGCGGGCCCAAGGACCAAGCCCTGGGGAACCCCACTGCCCATGTCCCCCCAGGTTGAAAATGACCCATCCACCACCACTCTCTGGGTGCAGCCCTCCAGCCAATTGGCTACCCATCTGAGTGTGTAGGCGTCGACACCACAGTCGCCTAATTTTTTAATGAGGATGGGGTGAGAGACAGTGTCAAAGTCCTTCCTAAAGTCCAGAAAGACTATGTCCACTGTGACACATGCATCCAGGGCTTTTGTGACCTGGTCGTAGAAGGCAACCAGGTTGGTCTGACAGGACCTGCCTCTAATGAACCTGTGTTGATTGCCTCTAAGCATAATCTCCCCTGCTGGTCCCTCACAGATGTCCTCCTGGATAATTTTCTCAAAGAGCTTCCCCAGGACCGAGGTAAGACTACTGGGCCTTTAGTTTTCTGTGTCCTCTTTCCTCCCTTTTTTGAAAATGGGGACCACATTGGCCCTTTTCCAATTCTCTGGCACCTCACCAGAGCACCATGAGTGCTCGTAAAGCTGTGCCAGGGATCTCGCAATGACCTCTGCCAGTTCCCTCAGCACTCTGGGGTGGAGATGGTTGGGACCTGCTGATTTGAACACATCTAGTCCCTCCAGAAGTTCCCCGACTAGGTCCTCACTGACCCTGGGCCTGGCTGCACCTCCCCTGGGTCCATCTGGATTCCCAGTTGGGCGGGGGGTCCCTGTCCCTGCTCAGAAAAATGGAAGAAAAGAAACTGTTAAAGAGATTAGCTTTGTTGCCTGGTGCTACCACCAGATTACCAAGCACATCCTGCAGAGGCCCCATGTTACTTAGTACCTTCTTTTTACCCGCTATGTATTTAAAAAAGGACTTCTTGTTATCCTCGATCCGGGTCACTAGTCCCAGTTCCATCTCTGCCTTGGCCTTCCCAACAGCCCCCCTACAATCTCGATCAATGGAGGTATACACCTCGTTAGTGAGGGCCCCCCCCTCACCAGGGAGGGCCCCTCCCTCACCAAGTTATGTACTTGGCAATCTGCTGCAAATGAAGTGTGCTGCTTATATCCTTGGGAACTCTTCGTAATAAGTTTCAGTATCATATAATGGCTGTGTCATCAATAAAACCAAAATGAATTTCTCTGCGCTTCACTCCCTCCCTTGCTGTAGACCACAGTTTCCATTTGGTCAAAGAAAAGGAACACTGCAACAGAAGTCCATTACAGCCTCAGTCCAGATCTGCCAGGTTTCCATACCGTCTACCAGTGAATGCAATGATCTCAACCAGAAACATTAGTTGGACATACTTTTTGCACTTAAAGTTCCTGGTAATGCACAGTTATTTTCAAGTGGTCAAATTTCAATTAATCCTTTTCTACTACCAGACACCTGTCCCGTGGAAGAAAATCCATTCCTTAGAAAGGGAAATAGTAACATATCTGATGCATCTGATGTCTTTAATGGAAAAATTAGTTCTTCAGATGTCAAAGAACAAGTTACTAAATAACACACCCTTCAGCACTTTTTGTACTAATTGAGATTTCTTTAGTTCCCTAGCTTCAGGATATAGCTATGGTTAACTCTCTATCCCCAGTAGGAACAGAATACTTCACTGGATTTTAAAATGTGACAGACACAGTATTAATGAGTTATCATATATCTCCAGTTACATGGTCAAGTATATCATAAAAGGGAAATCACTATTTTAATTATTCAGAGTTGTTTTTTCTCACATACTTTGGTTCATTTATATTCAGAACTTTTCCTTCTGTGGTGATCAAAGTCCTAGGTGGCTTTTCTTTCTTCTTGTGTCCCCTAAAAGAAAGAAAGAAAAGAAAGGGTTTCTTCCTATTGTTTATATTCTGGTTCTTTTTGTGAAGCTGAGAAAAAAATGACATAAATTTGCACATGGTGAACCTCTTATTTTAAGAAGGAAAGTTATTTTGTTAACATCACAGGTTATGCATTGCATCTTTTGCACTGGAAAAGCATGTTTACTGTCACCTGCATAAAAGTGAGCAAATTATTCACGGTAAAGGCTTTCTTCATTGGATCTTATTCTCTTTTTCTTTTCCCAGAATATACAAGAGCAACTTGTAACTTCTTAAAATTTATCTGATAAATCTATTTTATTAATGAATTGATCTCTAATATTTTAAGTGGGAAGCATGTTGCTAGTGGTAACTGGTCACATAAATTAGGTATTGTAATTAGTGTTACATGGTTGCATGAATGCATAAGTATTTTTGCTGCAAATATTTGTTCAAGTTCATTTAAAATGTATCTTCAGATATTTTGGCATGAAGTTCTGAAATTTGTTCAGAAAATGTTTCAAAAGCAAAATTTTCTGCCAGGCTAAAGACTTGGCTGGTCAACATTTTGAAGTAAGCGCCACAAAAGGGAGCATGCATGGCCAAAGTGAATACTGGTAAACTTTTAAAAAATTATTTTGATTTATTTATTAGCTGAATTTTGCTTTACTCCTCCAAGAGCTGTCATATACCTTACTAATAAAATTAGGCTTTCAGACACCTTTTCATACTAAATTAGCAGCAGTGAAACTGCAGGGCACCTTTAGATAAGTGCAATATACAAATCCCCTTGGTGCTTCAGGCCACATCAACATAATTTAGAAGTACCCGGATATCTAGAATTATTAGTGTGCTTGATGGTAGTGTCAGAGTGATGCTGTAGCTGTGATGGTCCAGGAAATATGCAAGAGGCAGGGATTTTTGTGGGTGATATCTTTTAATTGGACCAACTACATAGCTGAGATAGACTTCTCCAGGTGACCTAAAGTAGAATGCACAGCATTCAAAAGTCTATTACAACCATATAATTGAGCCGATAAAAGGTATCATTCACAAAAATCCTTGTTTCTCAGTTTTCTTGATGATGTATTTTTGTTGTGTTCAGCTAGAAATTTTAGTAATATTAGGCGGAAAGGATTTGCATTTCTCTCATGGGAAAAATAGATCTAATTCTAGGCCTTCTTAAAATGCATCAGGTTGCCAATGGGTTTAGGTTGTAGCCGTGTTGGTCTAAGGATATAGGCAGACAAGGTTGCCTATAAGAGCCTTTTAAGACCCAGCTCTACAAAGCCTTAGCTGGGAGATATAGTTGGAGATGGTCCTGCCTTCGAGCAAGGAGGTGAACTAAATGACCTCCTGAGTCCTTAATTTTCAACGGTAATTTTCTATGATTCTGTGATACTGGGATTGGAAGAACACATGGATGGATATGAGAGTTGCTATTGGAATGATCAGATGATAACAATTTATGTTTGCATCGCACCTTTCACTCAGAACAAAAGAATGTGTATTACAAACAGATTTAGATGTTAGAGATGAGTTGGATTTGTTTATGGGGACCTGTAGCAGACTTGGGGGGAGGGGGGTCTGCATGTAGCAGCTATTGCTCCTAGCTATCAAACTCACCTGTTGCAGTTTCCAGCCTCACTAACCTCCTATCTCTATCCTGACATGCCTTGAGGGTAATAGGATAACCTTGAAAAACTGATTCTACAGGCCAGAATAACTACTTTAGTACCTTCTCTCTTGGCCCAGTCCTTGGGGCTTGTCCATCCCCAGGCTCAGTCCCCAGGGCTTCTCTCGAGCACAGGCAACCCCCGCTTAGTGCTCTTAATTGGTTCCAGAAAAACAGAGCACTAAGCAAAACACCGTTAAGTGAAACTCATTTCCCCATAGGATTGAATGTGTCCCTCTGCCCTTCTCTAGGGTGTGCTTCTCCTTTAACAGAGTCCTTAGGGCTCCTCTGCTTTATCAACACCATTTGTAGTTCTACAGACCCTAAACCTGACCTCTTGGCCCTCAATGTGCCTTAGGGACTATAATCATGGCCTCCAGTAGCCCCCATAGCAACATCCATGCCTCACAGGTCTTACTCTGTTTCCTTCCCCTGGCCGTCTGGCAGTATACTGGGTTCAGTCCACTGAGTCCTTGACTCTTGCAGGGCTGCTATATCTAATCTCCAAGTTCTTAGCTTGGCCCCATACAACCTACCAGGTCCCAGACCTTTGCACAGCTCTACGCTGGCCTCGGCCCTTTATAATATGGAGTTCTTCCCAAGCACCCCACCCACGGGCTCAATCTGCCCCTGTAGCCACACCCAAACCTCCGGTCAAAACAGAAACAGAAATACAAGCAAACTGCTTCAGAATACAACTCAAACTCTACCTCAAATCTCTGTATTGCTGCAAACCCACCCCCTACCAGATGATTGTTCCCCAGCCTCCAGGGCACCTTCTTGGTCTAACACCTCTCTTTTTGCATCCTGTGTTTTCAGGAATTTCTTTTTCTGCAAAGATCAGGGCCAGACTGCCTGCTCTGGCTCCAGAACCAGTTTATACCCCCTTTGCCCCACCCCTTCTGGTCAGGTGCCTCCCTGAACAACTGCAGATGTGTCTTTCCAGCTCAATGGACAGCCAGCCCTCATCTGCCATCTAAGAGCTTGCATATTCCAAGGGTTGCTTTGAGTTTAAAAGGGGTGTACCTTGAGTCTAAAAAGGCTGAGAACCACTATAACCACTGTAAGGCTAGCATGGGTTTTAAGAGACCTGTAATTGGGTGAATCTATAGTCAGACGCCTAGAAAGTAGATGACTTCTAGAACTTGAGTCCCCAAAAATCCCTTTCAAGTTAGTAGGAGTTGCATCTCTTTGGAACATTAAAAAAACTGGAAAATGTCATATTTAGGCACCTACATAGGTATATAGCTTTGAGTATCCAGATATGAAAATTTTGATCTGCTGCTAAATAAAATCTAGTGAAATATCTGGCTAGATTACTATCAATCTGGAGTTCCAGTCGCATCCAAAAAACCTTGAAGACTTTTCAGGAATAACGTATTTTAAGACATAGTCTCCTAACCAAAGAGCATATGTAATATGCAGGTTTTTGTTACTCAAGGACCAGCTTCCTTAATGAAATGCATGTAGAGTATAGCCAGTTATACAGAGAAGGTGTACAAAGTGCTGCTTCTGCAAAAAATTCATAGACCAGCCTTGGGGGCATTTGTGTAATGTCACATACCCTCATGGTAAATGCTTTTAACAGTACAAATATGCATTCAACTGCAACAAATGTATTAGATGAGAGGGCAATGAACCTTTTAAAATATACAAAATGGGGTTGAATAAAGAAGAAAACAATTATATTTTTAAAAAATCTATTTTGAGAGAAGCAGAGTAAAAGGTATTCTTAGGTATCCAAAAAAAGAAAGCAAAGTGCACTATTCAGAAGTGTGTTTGGTTAGATTTTTACAAAAACGTTTTCAAAGGAACAAATGGGAATTATGTACCGCCTTCTCACTGACTTACAGTGGGGGAAAAAGGTGCCTAACTCATCTTTACTTTTCATTCCATCCAGGAAGAGCACACACCAACTGCTGAAACTTCCTTAGCCTAACGAAGGGTTTTTGAACCCGAAAGCTTGCTTAATAACTGTTCTCCAACTATTTGGTTTGGTCTAATAAAAGGTACCAGATTCACCCAAGGATCCTTGTCTGCCTATGTCCTTAGACCAATACGGCTACAACCTACACCCCCTAACTCATCTTTATACCTTTGAAAATCCCTATGAAAATCTCCCTCTTAAATCAATGTAAAGAATATGTAAAACCCAACAGATACCTTAGATCTTCTTTAGCTCTACGCTTTTCTTCAATATATCTGTGAGTTTCTAATCTTGACTCTGGAGTATATAGTGTGGGCTCTTCCCAAAATGCTCTGTCCTCTTCATTGTCTTCATCTGCTCCCCATTGCCGATACTCATTTTCTTCTTCTGTGTGCTGCTGGTTTTCTTTGTCCTGTAAAGGGTCTGGGCTAGAAAAGAATACATAGAGTGGCATGTCATGAAACACAGAAAGAGTAGCAGTGATGGATTACTGCAACAAAACTGTCTTCAAGTCACTTTATATAGTAATATAATTAATTGCCACAATTGGGCTACCTGAGAAACCTGAGAGACTTAAGTAACTTACCTTACTCTTTTCTTAATGTTTTATTTACATTTCTTGTTTATATTTGAAGTTGATGGACTCCCCAAACTGCAGTACTTGATCCAATTTTGTCATTTTGACTTTTTAAAGTCTAGTCATAAATTAGTTAAGCCATGGCAAATTTATGACAGACCAACATGACATTACTGATTTCCTAATCTAGATTTAATCTTACAACATTAGATCTTCAGATTCTCTTCAAATCTTCTGCCCAGATACTGGTTAAATTAAATACATGGCTGATGGCTCTAAGCACTCTATTTTGCATTAGTAATTAATTGGTTGCATTTTATTTACTGATTTCTTGGACTAGAATCAATGACTCAGCCTGAATCAAATCAATCTTCTAATACTAATCCATCAGACATAAATTTGGGTGACATTGTAACAAAAATGACATTGGAGAAAATCAAGTACTAAAACAGAGTAACTCAAAGGACAGAAATAGTGCTGGGAATGTCTGTTAGTTATGTAAATTCTAAGCCAAAATGTGTCTCTTTAGGTAAAGTGACCTCATCAAACCTAGGAAGTGGACACAGCCTACTAATGGTAGGTGAGGAGCAACACCTCAGTCTTTGAACTTTGGGATGGAATCCAGAACCTAAAGGAAGTGCCAAAATTTTCATGGTGAGAGCAAAGTTCCCCAGAACAGCATCCAAAATAGCCAGTTTATTACACTGCAAGCTGCTTAGTCAGCTAGACAATGGAGAAATACTAAGGATATGCTCTTGACAGGCAAAATTTAAGAACTTTCTCAGGGCTGCACAGAGGTATCTCCATCCATTTGGAGTATACAGCTCAGAGCTGTTTCTTGAGGAGAGGCACCTAGAGCCTTTCTTGGAATGAAATGAGCACGGATCACTCTTCTCAGGAAGGGAGATCTGATGCCTCACTTCTACTAGACTACAAAACAGTCTAGTTCAGTGGTCAGCAGTCTAGGGTCTGCAGGCAAACATTGGCCCATGAAAGACTTTAGCCAGCCCTCCAAGCACATCTGCAGGAGAATGTGTCATCTACCTGTTTCTCAACCCGTTGGTCATGATCCAAAAGTGGATCACAAGAATATATAAAAGGGTTGTGAACAAACTTAAAAAAAGAATCAATAAACTTTAAAAATGGACTCTCCTTTAAAGCTAAAAAACATGGGAAACCATGGCTCTTCCCTTGCAGGCTGGCAGAGTTCAAACCTGCGAGGGGCTGCCTGGGCCCGTCCCCCCACCCCACACTCAGCCCCTGCCTCACATACTGGAGGGCTGGGGCCTGGGGTTGGGGGGAAGCAGGTCGGGAATGAGGGGCACTGGGTTCAGACTGGTGATTGATGTTAACAAATGTGTCCCGGTACAAAAGAGATTGAGAACCACTGATCTAGTGATTCCTTCCATCGATAGCCACTTTTAGCCTGCTGCCCCTGGCATAAAGACCGAGCTGTGTTAATTCAGTCAATTGTTATTGAAAAGTTGATGACCCTTGGTCTAGTTAGTGGAGCACTTGCCCAGAACATGAGAGACAAGTTCAATTCTCTTTGTCTAAGCTAAAGTGAAGCAAACCCACATTTCCCATCTCCAAGGAGAGTATCCTAACAGTTAAGCTCATGTTTAACCACTAGCTATTACCTAAAAGGGAAATACCACCAGCACTTTTTCCTCTGTCTGTGTTTTCAAGGGCAGTGGTGGTTGCCCCTGCATTTTATAGATTCCAATCCTGTGGATGGGTGTTATATGCTCTGGGAACAACTGGATTAAGCCCCAAGCACTTGGGCAGAGGAATGTCTAGTCTCTGGACTAGATACGAGCATATCCAGAGGCAGAATTTCAGGAACCTAAAGGATTGTCAAAACTGCACTGCTATGAAGTTTAGACAGTTTCAGGATTAGACGGCAGCTGCATGGAGGTTGTCACAATCATAGCTTTGCACATAGGCATTAGAGGTGTGCAAAGCGGGCCCTATTTGATTTGGATTCAACCTGAATCAGGGACAGTGATTTGATTTGTTGATTTGTATCACTGTCCCTGATTCGATTTGGCCAAATCTGAATCTAAAGATTTGATGGTGATTCAGACACAGACACAGCTTTAAAAGTTTTTTCTAGATCCCTCGAGGTACCGGGCATGGCTCATGAATGCTGTGATGCTGGGGTGCATGGAGCATCCCATAGGAGTGTGGGGGGACCCTCCAAGTGCTCTGCAGTGAACCCAAAAGCAGACTGAAAGTACTTTTGATCCACTTCCAGGTCTGCCAGAGAGCACACTGAGGGGGGCCCCCCTGAGCACACTCCCAGCTTGGCGGTCAGCCACAGGGGGACCTTGAGTGCTCCCCCCAGACCTAGGAGGCACCAGTCACTGAGCTGGGTGGGGGTGGTGGGGGGCCCCTGTGTGCTCCTCAGTAGACCCAGAAGTGGACTGGCGGTGCTTCTGGATGACTTCCGGGTCTGCTGCCAAGCATGCTGGGGAGCCCTCCATGCTTCTGTGGGGCACTCCATGCACCCCAGCATCGCAGCACTCATGAGCCCCTGCTACCTAGAGGTATGTAGAAAAAACATTTACAGCTGTCTCTATGGCCGAATCAAAAAGGGGACCAAAGCTTTGCACAGCCCTAATAGACACCTAAATTCTATGTAAGTCCCATGTGAAGCATCTGAGGCCTTTTTTTAAGATCTGACCCTAAGCCATTATACTCTAAAATAATTATGGCCATGTGAGAGGTGAACACTGAAGCTTTGATTTGATTGCAACTTATGAGCCCAAAGTTCCACAGTGCTGTCTCCATGGGACTTGGACGCAACATTACTATTCATAAGCAAAATGAATGGCAACTAAACTGGAAATATCCATTTATGAAATGCTCTCGTACTAAAGAAGCTTTCCATCCCATTGATGGAAACAGAACAGAAAGAGCTTTCTAATGCTATCACAAATTGAAATAGAAATTCAATAGGGGATTTCAAAGTAAAAATTCTGCTCTCCAGTTTTCATGCCCATGTATGAAGAGAATAGATTATTGGAGGTAAGATCAGTAGTGAAGATAAATCTACGTGATTTTAAAAGGGGCATATAAAAATGTGTCAAGTAATTGATATATCTAGAGAAAAAATCCTAATAATCCAAGAGGACAGTTGTTAGCTCACATACATGGTGTTGTTAATGTCTGTGTACCAGCGTCGATCAAATCCAGGGTTAGGTTTGTCTTTTTTTTTCTTCTGCCTCTCTTGTATTTTTTGTACAACCTCTTCTTTTTCTCTGGCCCTTTTGAGGCAGTAAGCCTGTTCCTGCTCACTGATTTTCTTCTTTATTTCAGCATAGTTCTGCAATGCCTGAATCCTTTCAGAACGTTCTATTTCTTTACTGTCCAGGCACTTCTCAAAAGAGCAAAAAACAAATTAAAGACGACAAATTTGGCAAAATAACCAAAAATTTTATATGCAAATAAAAAGCCACTTAGCACAAGGTTAGTTTTATTAGATCATCTTTACTAGAAAGTTTAAAAATTTGAGACTTTCAATCACCCCTTACCATTGTGTAGTTTATATACATCAGTGATTGTGCCTGAAACCTTGCTAAGAACTTCTTTCCAGCTACTCAGTTGGTCTAATAAAAGATATCACATCTACCAAAGAACCTTTCCTGAAAATACCACACACATTTCTGTAGAGGTTATTATAGCTGAGAGAGGCAGACAGCTTTTTTTTTTTTGAGGGCTTGAAGCTGCATTTTAAATTGAGTCAATTCTGTAATGACCAAATCTCATACAGCTGAATTACCTCCAAAGAGACAGAAAAGGAACTCAAGTTTTGCATTCTATTCTGTTTAAACCTGGATGAGGGTGGGTTCATCTTCCTATACCTAAACAGGGATTTAAGTAGACCATGGACCAAGAGGAGTTCTCTGGTATAATATATTTTTCTGAATAACTTGTTGCATAGATCTGCCTCTGTTTAAATTGTCATGTAAAGGAGTGTATCCAAAAAACTCATGTTGTTCCTTACAGTACTCAATTTACATGTGTGATATATCCAAAGCCCTTTTACAGTTAAACCCAGGAATATCACTCCTCTTTTTATCACCTTCTACCTGTTACCACTATTTTTCTCTTTAAAAGCTGACTTCCATGCAGAATAATGCAAAAAATATTGTCACAAAATGTTTATTTCCAACAACTTAAGCGATCTCTCCTGAGCAAATTTACCACTTAATGTCACAACTCTTGAAGGATGTTCCAAAATCCAATCAGTTAGCAGACAACTACCAGCAAAGGAATCTGTCTTGTTAAAGAAATATACATAACAATTTATAACAAGACAAAATTATATAGTTCTTTTTTGTTGCAAGCACCTGGGAATTTAAGGTGCTATCACAGCTTGAGTGAGGCTTGCCTTGGGCTTAAGTGCCACGTGTATAGTGTATCTTGTAGTTACATCATGGAGGGTATGTGAGGTCTTTGCACATAGTTGGGGATGTGCTTGTGAAACTCTTGAAAAAGGAGACCGAATACAGGAACAAATTAATACAAGGGCCAGAGAGTGGGTGCAGTGCAGGTGTGGTGCCACTGAGGGAGGCGGGCTAGACAGGCTTCAGCTCTCCTATCTTTTTATGCAGCAATAGACTCCCCTCCATTCAGTCAGTTAGTAAATGGTTTTTAACACAGCAGAGCTATTATGGTTTTTGCTTCATTTCTTACATTGGATAGTAAAAGTCAGAGTTGGACATTATGCAAGTTCACAAAAATACACAAGGAGCAGGGTATGAATCCTAGACCCTTCAATTTAGAGCAGTGGCACCACCTTTTGTGAAGCTATCAAAACAAGTAAGCATCACGTGGTGTGTGGCTCTGATTACTGTCAACTCTTAATATCACAGGCTTTTGTCAGTCTCGTGTATGATATTACAGTATCTGGGTTTGACTGTCTGCAAATTATAGTCTACTGACTTCAGCAGGCTTTTGCAATTGATTAAAGTCTCCAGGATTATTAATCCAGCACCCTTTACTTTCATGACATTCACTTAGAAATCTCCTATGGATTATAGAAAGGTAGTAGCCCTACTGCACATTTATCCTCCTCATGGTTAAAATGCTCTAAAAGAAAGACTCAGGACTTGGCTCAAAGATCTCCAGTAAAAACAATGTAAAAGTTAACGAATATATTATGGCTGACACACCCCGCAACTCCATTATTAATATGATTGGCTCTCCTTCAGAGTAGAATTTAATTTCCTATAGACAATGAGTAAGGCTTTACCACAACCATTATTTTTGTTTTGCATCAGTATATTCAGTCATCAGTGAAGATAAATAGACATGATTTTAAAAGGTGTAGGTAAGAATATACCTAGTAATTGATATTCTCTTATCAAAGAGGATTGCCATACTTCTAGCAACTCAGCTGGATACAGGCACATTAAAAAAACCCCCATACTTTTAGCTGATGAAGAGTTGCTACCACAAACTGTCTGTATCCTTCAAACTCAGTGCACGGGTTCCCCATCAGAAAGAGTTCTTTAAGATGCATGTTGTGTTTTAGGACTTCAATACTGGACAGTTCTCCGATGAAATTTGCTGTCAGGTCAAGTTTCTGCAATTCTTCACATCCTGTTTGGAAAGATGTTATTTACCTTGAATATGATATGCACACATCTACAGTATTTGGGGTCAGAACTGCAGTCTGTATTTGTTTTGCACCTATGCATACAATACTTTTTCAGGATTGGATTTGGGAGAATAATTCACAGCAACTAATTTTTATCGTTTCCTAAGTTTTTTGGTGGTCATAATGCATGTGAAGTGAGAGAAGTTTTACTAAAAATTCACAACCACCCCAAAATTATACAAAATACTGCTAGCTAGATTTCTATAAGAATGCTTGGTGGTCTGTTCTTGCATATTCTCTACATCGAAATGTGTATTGGTGAGTTATAAGACCCACATAGAATTGGGTGCAGAATTCTTAATTGGCTGAATCTGCCCCAACTGGTTAAAATAAGTCACTGCAAGTAATTTTCTTAGGACGTGTGCAGATGTTCCTGGGACCCATTCCAGGGGCGTGGGAGGTGGGCAGGCTTGTGGGTCCAGGGTCAGTTGATGGATCTGCGAGGAGGGTGCCCATCCAGAGCCAGGGCCTCTGCCATCCCAGGGCTGGGCTCTGAACATGTATACACATTGATTTAATAGATTTCATAGACATTAGGGCTGGAAAGGACCTCGGAAGATCATCAAGTCCAGCCCCCAAACCCCAATTGGGTTAGATCAGGAACAAGTTAGCCTGATTTATAAAGTGCACCTCCTTAGGTGAACTAAGATCAGGCCAGCCATTTTTTGCCTGATCTAAACTCCCAGAACAAATACACAGCTCACCACTTATATTGTCCTAACCTAGTAAGGTTGATCTAAGTGTAACATTTACACATACCCTAATTAGAGGAAGAAGCAACTGTATTTTGTGCTCTCTTGTTGAGACAGTCAGGACAAAAAAAGAAAAACTGATAATGGCTCTGGCAGGGAACAGACTTCGAAATAGCCTTTGAAGGGACACATGCCAACCCATATCTTCTTTGAAAATGAATTATTTTAACTTGAGATAATTTCAAGGATAAAACAAACCAATAAAAATACTGGTCTAATTATGGCAGAGCAACAAGAGTTCTTAGGAGGTCAGGACGAATGGCAGACTTTATGATTTTATACTTCTTTTCTTAGCTGATACTATTTGTGTTTAGGAGCCATGTAAGTAAAACTGGGCTTCTCTCACAGTTTCTAGACTTTTAAATTAAACATGCATGGCAATTAACATTGCTAACTTTTAACATCCTGGCATTTCTCCTTGAGTGAGTCAGTCTGAAGGTGCAAATGCTGCCGAACCGCTGGGGGAAAATAAAGTCATGGATACTAAAATATCTTCACTGTAAATTGAAATTTGGGACTGGCTAATAAAAACTTCATTTGGATCAGTATAATCATACATTGAAATACAAGACTGAATATCATGGGGAATTTCATATCCCAAATGGGTCATGATGTCTCCACCTGCACTGTATTTCTCAACTATAATAAATAAGAAAAAATGGTTATTTTAAGAACTAAAATAGCTAACTAATTTGAATTGTGTGTCAGAGGGAGACAAAAAAAGTTTTCAAAACTCCTTTTGCACCAAGACAATCACAATCCTGACAACAAGTACAAATGCAGGCTCAGTTACTGTGCTCATTATAACCATGTCTGAGATTTCTTTGCAGGTCCATTTGGCAAGGATTGTGTGTGTGATAGAGCTGAAAGAATAAACAAATAAAAATGATTTATTTGGGGATTTAAATTGCTGAATTTTTGCAAGGCTCACTCCCAAAGGTTCTGACTTGCAAGTAAATGAAAAATTACAGTAATAAATATTGCAACTGGATAGAGAGGCTTAAAATTTACTGGCATGAAAACATACATAAATTTCTCAATATGTGGCCAAAGGTATAATTTACTCCCTATTTCACCAGCTTCTGTAGACTGCTGCTAAACCTATTTGAGAAACTTTATTTTGCCGTTATCCTTCTCCTAGTTTGTTGATTATTTTTCTCAGAAGATACAAGCTGAAATCATTACATGGCTAGTTCACTGTATCCTCAAAGGTGGCTATCTTAAACACTAGCAAATTGACTACCTAGAAGATTCCCATGGAAAAAACTAGAGCCAGACATAATTCTAGTGAATTGGAATTCATCTACAGGCATTTCTGTGGCCTGAATTTGATCTTGTAAAATTCTAACCATTTTCAGTAGCTTCTGCAGTTAATCAGCTAAAGGTCCCAAAAGGAGGTGAGAATTTATGTAATAACAGAAAGAAGAATCATCTGGAAGTCTCCAAAAAGCTATTTCATACAAAATAGGGCATTACATTGTAGTATTGCAGTAACTATAATTACTTTAATTGCTTATTTTGTTATTGCTTATAATTGCTTTGACTGTTTATTTTGTTATTTCTCTTTTTATATATAAAAAGATTTAACCAATATGATAAAGCTTATCTAGTTATGATTTACTTCTTACTATAATTTGATGAGTCATTATTAGTACTTGGAATTAACCATCTATTTTCAATTTCTTATTGCTTAGCATAAAATGTATTTGACATTGGTCTCATGATTTTAGACATGTTTAACTCATGACTTTAGAACTTAAATTTAGTATAAGGAAAACGCTTGTGTAAGGGTTTGTGGTATGTCTGGTTTATGTGGAAAGAGGTAGCGAAAAAATAAATGATGGACATATGTGCCAGCGATACAAAAAGACAGGCCTCTTGCAGCAGGTGAAAATACCCTTCTGTGGTTTGACAGTTAAGAGCTGCAGTGACCTAGAGTCAGCAGCAAAGGATTACCAAACACGAAATCATGCTCCATCCTGATGGCTGAAGACTGCAAGCGACGGCCCCTAAAGATTGCAGACCACAAAGCCAGAAGATCATGACCTACCAATCCCAACCTGCCAACAGGACAAGAAGGATAGCCTTCACATCTGACTCAGTGGAATCCATAGGCTGGTACAGACAGCTATTACTATAAAGTATGAACACAAAGACAAGGCTTTGGGTCTCTTCCACCTGCAAGAAGGAGTTTTGGGCACGTCCAACAAGACCTGACTCCAACTCTCTTGGTCAGCCTGGCTGGCCGCCAGACTGACCTTGAGCAACTTCGAAACTTGGTAACACCTTAACCTTTGCAGGACTGTCTAACTTCTGTGTGTGTGCTTGTCTCTTTTGAATGAAAGGATGGATGAATGAATAAATGAGTATGCATGAGAACAAGTGAAGCAAATAACCTTGCTGTTCCTTATTCTTTTCATGTTGCGTGTTTTATGTTTTATGTTCCAATAAATGCGGCGTTGTGACTTATCCCCTGATAAGATTCCAGCTTGTTTTTAAATCACATTGTACGCCCTGTGTGCACAACAACATATGGGGTGCATCTACACATGCAAATAAGCGTGACTAAATTTATTGTATTAAGCTAATACACATTAAGTGATTTTTGGTAGGTGTCTACACGTGCAGAGACTTGGCACTAAAGTTAGTCCTAAGTCCCTCCAGTCCTGCCACGTGCCCTGTGGCCACCAGGGGGAGCGCCAGCCTCTAGCCACATGGCTGCCAGCCCTTGGCAGCCATCTTGGAAACTCTGATACCTGGCCAGCCCCTTCCCTGCCCAGGAGCTGCATGCTGACAGCCTGAGCCAGCTCCCTCCTTGCCCACCCTGTTTCCGCATGCCAGGGCTGTTCAAGGCCCTGGCCCTGGCCCTGGCCCTGCCCCTGCCGAGCCTGGCCCCTGCCAGCAAAGACCAGCACCTCATGCTCCTGTGGGCCATGGTGCTAGCCCTGCTGGCACCAGTAGCACCCCCCCCGCCCCCCTGTGCCCAGGCCCCTGGACAGCTGTGCACCCGCCAGTGGCAGCCAGGACACCAGCTGCAGGACACCCTGGCTGACCCCCACCTCCTGCACTCCCCGTTCCAGTCTGCTTGTCCCACCACCCACTTCTTGCCCACCCTCAGCACTACTCTCAGGACATGCACAGGTTCAAAATAAAAAGCTTTATTACCCTCACAACACCCACCCCCATCTCTCTCCCATCCCCCCGCAACAAACAGAACCCCCTCCATCCTCCCCATCTACCAATAAAAAAATCAGGTTACAAGTGGAAAACTATATACAGGTGGGAAACTATATATAATTTGGGTCTTCAAGCCCAGAGTGGGGAGCCAGTTGGAGGGGCCTAGGCGGCAGAGCCCTGGGGCAGGTGCCCAGCACCCCAGCCCCTGGATGTTCCCTTGTTGCTCCAGAAGCTGCAATGATCCCAGTGGGTGGCAGCCTCATGCACAGCCAGGTCTTTGGCCATCTGGTGCAGGGGATAGTGGCATGTACAGGCCCAGGAGGGTGGTGGAGGCCAGACCAGGGGGTCTGGTAACTAGGAGGCACCCAAGGACCTCCTCCCAGGGCCAGGCGGGGGCCTGCTGTGGGGCAGAGGGCGGGACACAGGGGCCCTGTGAAGCCATGGGTGGGGGCCGGGCAGTGAGAGACATGTACGTGGGCTCCAGGGCCAGGAGGGTGTCCATGGCCTGGTGGTCAGCAACCTGCTGCTGCTAGAGCTGCTCTGAGTGCTCCCACTACAGAGCCTCCATTCAGGCCCAGTGGTCCCACTGTTCCCGGTCCCATGCCTCCAGCCGGGCAATGTTCTCCGGCCTCCAGGCCTGCTCTTGTGCCTCCCATGACTGCTCCCATGCCTCCCACTCCTCCACCACCATCACCAGTCACTGGAGCAGGAGGGTCCAGACCCTGGTGTGCTGCTGGTGCAGCCAGTGCATCTGAGTGGCTCCAGCAGCAGGTGGCGGCAACTTGAAGCCCACATCTCTGCTGGGGTTGGTGGGCTCTCCCCTGCACCCAGGTGTTGGCCCTTTTGTGAGAGTTTTCAGCATTTCAGAGAGAAGATGCTCTGCACCAGAGGCAATGCAATGCCTGGCCTCAGATTGGGGCTTGGCCATGCACAGGTGCCCAGCCAAGTCTGGGCCCAGGCAGCTGCTGGCCAAGCCCCGTCCCTTCATTCTACCCTGGGACCGGCTTGCTGAGTGCTGGCCACAGGCAGCCTGCTCCCCTGGGTCCAGCAACCTGTTAGGTGCTGAGCACAAGCACCCTTCCCAGGGCTGGACAGGCCAAGCTGCTGGCAGCACCTGCTGCCATGGCTCCAGATTCCACTCCACCCCACTCTCTCTCTACAGGCCAGCCACCCTGCTGCACTGCCACTCAGCCCACAGCACCCGGGGCTTGGGGTGTGTGGGACTCCCACACAACTGGGTCGAAGGGCTAGCCACACCCCCACCATCCCTACAGGAGGCCTCTCCAGGGAGGCACGATGAGGCCAGCCCCCGCTGCGCTGCTGCTGCGCCCCGGGTGGTACATGATGAGCTGTCTGTGCAGGCAGAGGGGTGCCCAAGCCACTATGCTCTGCTGCTGCTGCTGCTCCTCCTGGTGCCCCAGGCACACCTGTGCTCCTGGTTCAGGACCCTGAGCTATGATAGCACAGGGGGCAAGCCTGGGCTGCCCTGCAGCCTCTGCTGCTGCCTCGAGGGCTACCTGTGGCAGCGCTACACATCCCTGCCCCCTGCTGCTGAGAAGGACAGTGCTGCTGGCATCAACGCCTTCCTCAACATGAAAGGCCTGTGCTTGCCTGGCTGCAGGGACACAGGCTGCTGAATAAAGTTTTGAACTGTGTCCCGCTTGTCTGTGTGCTGTGTGGGGGGAACCCAGGGCCAGGGGAATGCAGCTGGGACAGGCAGGGAGAGGGGGCAGGGGCCAGGAACAGGGGAAGAGGCTGGGACTGGGGCCAGGATCAGGGACTTACCATGCGTCCAGGGCCGGCGAGGCTGGGAGCTTGGCACAGGCCTCCCTGTCAGCAAGGGCGACTGGCTGCAGCCAGTGTCCATGGCCCATGGTGTGCGGTGGGCCAGCACCTGGCCAAGGCCCCCCCAACAGGGAGGAGCTGGCACTGCTGGTGGCTGCCAGTATCATTGCTGGCCAGTCCTCATTGATGGGGTGTGGGGCTGTGCCAAGGGCAAGGCAGTTGCTGGGCAGGGCTCCCCAAGCTGCCAGTGGATGCAGCAGATAGGGAGGAGGGTGGAGCAGGGTGTTGGAAGCCTGAGGCACCCTCCTCTGGTGATGCGTTACCAGAGGCATCAGGGCAGGGTGGGGGCTCAGGCAGGCTGCCCCTGCTGATGCCACTCGCAGAGGTGTGGCCTGGCTCCCGGGGCACCAAAATGCAGGTCAGCTACTGCATAAAGGCCATGGCTTTTTGGGCATGACTGGACCAACAACTGAAGTCGGTCACAGCCATCCACTGTGCCTGCAAGGCCTTGACCTTTATGTGGCAGTGCTCCACTGAGCAGGAGTGCCTATCGGCACAGCCCCAGAGCACCACAAGGTTGCGCACCTCCTCCCAGGTCCAGATGGGGGCCTGGGCAGTTGGGACGGGGTGCGCACACAGGCGGGGCCAGGGCTCGATGAGGAGGAGGAGGAGGATGACAGGGTCTCTGGGGCCCTGCATGGCTGTTCCAGCATGGCTATCCCTGGATGGCTGCCAACACCATGGGCATGGCCAGGGACTGGGAGCCACATGGCAGAGACACCACCACAGCACCTGCAAAGAGACACTCTGGGGTGAGCAGCAGCAGGAAGCAGGTGCTGGCCTGGCTGCCAGAGACAGCCAGGCAGTATCCCTGGAGGGTTCTCAGGGCTGGGCAAGGAGTGCAGCAAGCTGCAGCCCTTTGCAACACTCACCTGTGGACAAGCAGCAGCTCTGAAGGAGGAGGACAGGCCAGGCAAAGGCAGCCTGTGGCCTGTCCAGGGGGACACACAGGGCCTGCTGGGCTCCTGTACATGACAACAGGCTTCTACAGGCTCTTGTGTGTTTCTCAAGGCACAAAATGGCTGCACGCTTTTATATCCTGCAGCTCGGGACTGCCAGAGAGCAGCCCTGCCCAGCAGGAGAGGTGGCCAGCCAGGAGCCCTGGGGCTGGGCTCAGGCCAACCCCCAAGTGGCTGGGCAAACCCAGCACTAAAGTTAGTGCCGGGTCACATCTGTACGTACATTAGTGTGCAATAACTAACTGCATGTAAATTTGATACATGAATTTGCAGGTATCATATTTAGGCACAATTAGCCATTTTAATGCACAATAATGGCATGCACACGTAGACGCACTCCTGTAATGTGCATTAAATTAGGCTATTGTGCATTAACGCGTCTTGTGTGAACACGCCAATGGTCTATAACAAGGGTGTCAAAGAACAGTTGCAATGTTGGAGGAAGGTTATGCAGGGAAGAATAAGATTTGCCATAGTTTAACAAAGCTCTAAAAAGGAAGACTAGCAACCCCAGATTAACTTTTCCTAGATTCTATATGTGCTTTTATGTACCTTCTATACTATCAGTCTCTAACAGAAAGACTCATGTTAAGTAGTAACTAATTACCTTTGTTAATGGGCATATTTGTTAATCTATGATTTCCTTATCTTTAATTATCCATCCCAGTATTCCCATATAAAAAAGAAACAAAAATATATCTTTTGAAAAAAATCTTACCTTCCAAATTTTCAATTCTTTCAATGTTGTTCAAAGCTAAATTTAAATATTCAAGCTTCTTTAGTTTGCTAACATTTTCTGTAACAAATACAAATATAACTTTGATTCTATTTGTCAGGAATACTACAGTCATTTTTAAATTGTATGTTCATTTACTTACTTTCATAAATTAAATACTAAAAGGTAAATGCAGTATAGAATAACTATTGAATACTATAAATATAATATACAGCAGCATTAACATACAACTAATATTCACTTTTTAATGCACTTGAAATAATGACCCTTGGATGGAAAACAAAACACACTGAAGACTGAAAATAAAAAGTAAATAGGAAAGACAATGAACGGAGACAGCTAGTCAACAATTAGCTGCTTAATCATCCAGAGACTAAAAGCGCGGTTCAAATATCTGTTGAAATATTCCGTTCAAGAAGACATGGATCAGATCCATATTGTCTTACTCTGTTTTCTGGAATTGGTGAAAATTTTAACTGTTTCCTTTAGTGAAAAATTAGTTGTTCCCTTAACCCACATATCTTTCCTTTTCAGGATACTTTTCTCTGTAAGGTTTTGCAGCATTAATGTAAGAAACTTAGAGAATTAAAATACCTGAAAGAATGAAGATTGTTTGTAAATTATTCCTAGTCCTGACTCCAGAAATAATATAACCAGTTTTGCTATTTAGGTTTTGCTGATAAAACAACAAGAAGACAAACTGTTAAAAATCTGCGTTTCCACTTTGTGGCATTTCAACTCTCTGCTGGCTTCACCTGAAGGTCCCAGGGTTCTTTGTTTAGATACGTAATACTGACGGATAGATGGGAGGACACTAGAAACTCCTGAATCATTTTTTTCATTAAAAAATAAGTAAGTAATGCTAAAGACTATCAGAGTCCATCTCAAACTAGGCTGCTTTTCTACCATCAGACTGAAAATGAATCCCACAGAATGCATATTTCCCTTGAAAGCAAATCTTAAAAGTCTAATGATAATTTCATTTATGAGCTGTCTTGTTGCAATGCTTTGTGGTTTTGTCAAAATGCAGAAGTTACATTCTTTATCCAAGGAGGATCCTGTATCCCACAATGGATTTAAGGCTTCTGCAATGTATGATGATTGTGTGGTTCTAAAACTTAACCAAACAAGCTTGGGAATAGAAAGCTTATTTTACATGTTGCATGGAGGCCTGCCATGGAGAAAGAAGTGGAAATTACATTCTGGTGTGTCTGGCAGAATCAAAAGGAAAGAACAAGTCTGAATATGTACATCTGGAATTGCAGGGTTCTAGAAAGCTATACTATCCAGGAAGTGAAGGAAGGTAGTTGAGATCCAAATCTAGGCATTTGCCCAGACAGATGTTCAGAAAGGAGTTTAGCTCTGAACAGACGAAATGGAAACCAAAGGGGAAATTAGAAGTACGGCATT